AGATATTGTTAGCAGTATTATAATATTTTGTTAAACAAAAACTGATACCTAAAAGAAAAAATACCACACAAAGTATCAATCTTTTTTAGTTAAATATATATTAAGAAGAAGTTTTATAGTAAAAATGTGTTTAGTAAAACTTATCTGAAATAATCTTAAAGTCCAAGAAAAAAAGGAAAAATTGTTATCAACGTCGGAACAGGAAATAATGCAGTAATAATTAATTTTACAATATATATACATTGCTATTACAATATTACTAAAACAAATCTCAATACACATAATAACTGTCAAAATATGTAATGACAGCCGCTCAACGAAGTAAGCATAGTGGGATAACCATATCAGCATCACAGATAAGCGGCAACAATAATTTCGAGAAATGCGAGTTATCGACTTAACATACCTTTTTTTAGATAGGAAGACTTCAATATAGTATAATATATAGAGTATTGAAGAATTATATATTGAATTTGTCATTATGCAAATGTACATGCTCCGCCCACGTACTCACTTACATATGCAAATAATGATATTTGTGCTAGGTAAAATTTAAATTATGGAGAGTTAAACACATTTTTAAATTAAAACATTTTGGTATATAATTAAGTCAGTAATTTTGCAAAGTACAAGCGTGGGCGGAAGAAGAGCCCTTCCCTCTACGCTCTCACTTAGAAAAATATAACCTAAACCTGGAATAGTAATATCATAAATTAAATTAATAATCAATTTAATAATAAGAATGCTAATAAGCGCATCTTAAAACATTGCAAAGACTTTATAGCGAAAAATATATCGTCCTAGCCAGGCGCAATTTGCAGAGCTGGAAAACTTAAATATAACTTAAAATTTACTTAAAATTTTATATATACGTACTTAAAATTTACATATACAAATTAATATTATTAGGCTCCAGCCTTGACCGTACAAAGCGCGCGCTTCTGATCTACTTATTTGCTTTAATTATTTACATGTCGATCTAGTTTTACTTATTATTGTTTAGGAATTTCTCATTTAAAAATTATTATAGAACTTTAATACACATTTTGATATTAGAATTTTCATCTCAAAATAATCTCAAGAGTGTACCGTTAATGGAGTGTGCCACGGCAAATATGGAATATCTAGTATATAGGTATGTATAACAGAGAAAATTAGAGAGAACTGATTTTCGTTCTTAATCAAAGGTGCAAGTCACTTCAATATGAACGTGTTAAGTTTGTACGTTCCCGTTATTATTTTTTATACCCGGGAAATTAGCCACATTTTAAATACAATGATTTCGACTCGCAATCAGTATATACCTCGTGTTGTAAAACGACATAAAATTGCCGTCGCGTTTCAATACGCGATCAACGTCGTAGTACATCGTGCGTCTTAATGAAAATGTCGTGCGCTCGTCGTCTCGCGTAAATTACTTGCTCAAATAGTACGTCGTGCGTTTGAACGTTAAGAGTACCACGGAAAGTGATGGGCGCGCATGATGTAGTAACGTGAAAATGAGCGATTTCAATTAACCATGTTTTTCCAATTGACAAAATCGACAAGAAATCATGCATTTAATTCGACAATAGAGTCAGGTCAATTTGTTATATTGTTATCATATTTATTTTATTTGCAATAATGCAGTAATAATTGCAATCGAATCGCGTCATTTTCGACCCTTTGTGAAAAATAAACACACAGCACACAAATAGATATACGTTTTATATATAAAATTAAAAACACATTTACTAACTCGCGTTTAAAAAACAAGTAAGTAATTTAAACTCGGACAACCCTCGTAAAAAAGAACTACTAGTTCAATGATAACAGTACTGAAATGTAGTAGTGGCACTGTTGGTATAGCAGCGACACTACATTTTAATAGTGTTTTTACTGCACTAGTAGTTCTTTTTTACTAGGAAAGGAACGAGCAAGGT